CAATGAGCACTATCTATATAGTCGTATACACATCAAATATATAATTAAGTTGAATTGACAAACATTTTTATTCTGGGCAACTGTCCAAAAAACAACTAAAATTATTAGGTGTTTCGACTGGTTTATTGTAGAACTTTCTAAATGTTTCTGCAATTGTCCATCCTGCAGCATTCATGATCACTTCCACAGAAACATTAGCAGCTTTGTCCGCTGAGGTCAACGCAGAACGGGTGCTATGGGCACCATAAACAGAAGTGTCGATTCCAGCGCTTTCTAACACCTTTTTTAACCAACGACTAATATTCTCTGAAGAGACTGGTTTGAAAGGTTTACAGTAACTTGACAACAGTTGTAGATTACTCGCTCGTAATGGTTTGGTACGACAAATGTATTCTTTGATGCAAGAGACAACACACATGTTCTTGTCTTCGAAAGCAGTCAAGCGGACTCGTCTAAGGTGTTTCCCTGGTCTTGAGGTTTTAAGTAACTTTCCAATGTAGAAAATCCAATGTTCCAGTTAACACCATTGATTCTGCATCCAGCACTTGTATTGTTTGGCATCTCTGGCCTGAACACAAGGCAATAAGCCTTGTTGTTTTTTGAGTGTCAAGTCTAGATCTGCTAAGGTGAGTTCATTCAGTGGTTTGAGGCTTCTTAGGTATTTAAGTACATCTGCAACATCCCAGATCTCCTTGTAGCGTGGGAGGGATGGACGAGTAGAGTAGACCCCCATTAAGAATTTGGCCACCAATGGTTGATTTCCGAAGGTGCGCTCCCCTCCTGGGAATATAACTGTTGACAAAGCAGAGCAAGCTGTGTCGATTGAACTGTATGAGAGCTTCTGTTCATACAGTTCACCTAAGAAAATCAAAGCATCTGTGACAGATGCTGAAAGCGGATGAATCTGTTGTTTACTACAGTACTTCTCCCATCGTTTAAGGTGTGATTGGTACTGTTTTTGTGTTCCAGGTCTCCATGTTTGGAGGACGACATTGGTAGTTGTTGCTGAAAGGCCTTGGCTTGAGAGGAGTCCCCTGATAAGTGGCATAGTAGCAGTGTTAGGTTCTTGTGTTACGGGTGAAGAAGGTCTAGATCCGATGGCAAGATCAGTGTGTCTCTGTTCCTAGGCAAAATAATA